GCACTGGGAATGGCACTGGGAGCACTGGGAATGGGACTGGGAGCACTGGGAATGGCACTGGGAACACTGGGAATGGGACTGGGAGCACTGGGAGCACTGGGAATGGACTGGGAGCACTGGGAATGGGACTGGGAATGGCACTGGGAGCACTGGGAATGGACTGGGAATGGACTGGGAATGGACTGGGAGCACTGGGAATGGAGCACTGGGAATGGACTGGGAGCACTGGGAATGGAGCACTGGGAATGGGACTGGGAATGGACTGGGAATGGACTGGGAGCACTGGGAATGGACTGGGAATGGACTGGGAGCACTGGGAATGGAGCACTGGGAATGGGACTGGGAATGCACTGGGAATGGACTGGGAGCACTGGGAATGGAGCACTGGGAATGGGACTGGGAATGGCACTGGGAGCACTGGGAGCACTGGGAGCACTGGGAATGGACTGGGAGCACTGGGAATGGCACTGGGATTAATGGGACTGGGAGCACTGGGAATGGCACTGGGAGCACTGGGAGCACTGGGAGCACTGGGAGCACTGGGAATGGCACTGGGAGCACTGGGAATGGCACTGGGAGCACTGGGAATGGCACTGGGAATGGCACTGGGAGCACTGGGAATGGCACTGGAGCACTGGGAATGGCACTGGGAATGGCACTGGGAGCACTGTGAGCACTGGGAATGGACTGGGAATGGACTGGGAGCACTGGGAATGGCACTGGGAGCACTGGGAATGAGACTGGGAATGGACTGGGAGCACTGGGAGCACTGGGAATGGACTGGGAGCACTGGGAATGGACTGGGAATGGACTGGGAGCACTGGGAATGGCACTGGGAGCACTGGGAATGGCACTGGGAGCACTGGGAATGAGACTGGGAATGGACTGGGAGCACTGGGAATGGCACTGGGAATGGACTGGGAGCACTGGGAGCACTGGGAATGGACTGGGAGCACTGGGAATGGCACTGGGAGCACTGGGAATGGACTGGGAGCACTGGGAATGGCACTGGAGCACTGGGAATGGGACTGGGAGCACTGGGAATTCCGGACCCACCTTGCCTGAAGCCTGGGCAGATTCCCGAGGGTTTTTCCCAGGGTATTTCCCAGGTTTTTCCTTGGAATTTTCCCGTGTTTTTCCCAGGGTATTTCCCGTGTTTTTCCCAGGGTATTTCCCATGTTTTTCCCAGGGTATTTCCCATGGTTTTCCCGGGTTTTTCCCAGGGTATTTCCCGTGTTTTTCCCAGGGTATTTCCCAGGTTTTTCCTTGGAATTTTCCCGGGTTTTTCCCAGGGTATTTCCCGTGTTTTTCCCAGGGTATTTCCCAGGTTTTTCCTTGGAATTTTCCCGTGTTTTTCCCAGGGTATTTCCCATGGTTTTCCCGTGTTTTTCCCAGGGTATTTCCCGTGTTTTTCCCGTGTTTTCCCGTGTTTTTCCCGGAATTCCGGACCCACCTGTGCCGAAGGCGCCGATGCTGCCCCGCAGCCCCTCCAGGTCGCAGCCGAAGCGCCCGGCCCGGCCCAGCTCCTCATCGAACTTCCGCTCGCTCACAAAGTGCTGGAGAAACGGGAATTCCGGCAATTCCAGAGGGAATTCCCACCGGAATTCCCACCCGGAATGGGCTTGGGAACAATGGGAATTCCCACTGGCCCGGCCCAGCTCCTCATCGAACTTCCGCTCGCTCACAAAGTGCTGGAAAAACGGGAATTCCGGCAATTCCAGAGGGAATTCCCACCGGAATTCCCACCCGGAATGGGCTTGGGAACAATGGGAATTCCCACTGGCCCGGCCCAGCTCCTCATCGAACTTCCGCTCGCTCACAAAGTGCTGGAGAAACGGGAATTCCGGCAATTCCAGAGGGAATTCCCACCGGAATTCCCACCCGGAATGGGCTTGGGAACAATGGGAATTCCCACTGGCCCGGCCCAGCTCCTCATCGAACTTCCGCTCGCTCACAAAGTGCTGGAAAAACGGGAATTCCGGCAATTCCAGAGGGAATTCCCACCGGAATTCCCACTTGGAATGGGGCTGGGAACAATGGGAATTCTCACCAGGATTCCCACCCAGAATGGGGTAGAGAAAAATGGGAATTCTCCCTGGGAATGGGGCAGGAATTCCCACAGGATTGGGGCTTGAATTCCCACAGGATTTGGGCCAGAATTCCCACTGAATTGGGATCAGGAATTCCCACAGGATTCAGGAATTCCCACAGGATTGGGGCCAGAATTCCCACAGGATTTGGGCCAGAATTCCCATGGATTTGGATCAGGAATTCCCACAGGATTGGAGCCAGAATTCCCATAGAATTGGAATCAGGAATTCCCACAGGATTGGGACCAGGAATTCCAACGGGATTGGGGCCAGAATTCCCAGAGAATTTGGGCTTGAATTCCCACAGGATTGGGATCAGGAATTCCAAGGGGATTTGGATCAGGAATTCCCATGGATTTGGATCAGGAATTCCCACAGGATTGGGATCAGGAATTCCAAGGGAATTTGGGCTGGAATTCCCACAGGATTGGGATCAGGAATTCCAAGGGGATTGGGGCTGGAATTCCCACAGGATTGGGATCAGGAATTCCCACAGGATTGGGGCCAGAATTTCCATGGAATTGGGATCAGGAATTCCCACAGGATTGGGACCAGGAATTCCAAGGGGATTGGGGCTGGAATTCCCACAGGATTCAGGAATTCCCATGGGACTGGGGCCAGAATATTCACGGGATTGGGATCAGCAATTCCAATGGGATTGAGGCTGGAATTCCCAGTGGATTTGGGGCCATAATTCCCAAAGGATCGGGGTCGGGAATTCCGGGAATTCCGGGAATTCCGGGCTGACCTTGATGTCGGCTCGCAGCTCCTGCAGCTGCTCCTCCGACATGGCCGGGGCGGCCTCGGTGAGAGCGCGCAGAGCCTCGGCCCGGCGCTGCCGCAGGGAGAGCAGATCCACTGGAAAA